CGTCGTCGACTCCGTCATTGGAAATAACTGGGAGGGTGGTGGCTATCGTAACGATAACCACAAAATAATATAAAAATAAATATTACTAGGGGTAGTTTTTCTTTTTATCGTCAACAATGCCTTCCGCGTACTCGGCAAGTATTCTTATTGTCACTTCGTATCCACCCTCTTGAGATAATTGTGTTTCTACCGTATCCTGTTTATCTCGCCCTCGATATTCTAAGAATCTCCCCGGGTCGTCTTCGGTTTTCGGGTACCACCCCTTATATATGGAACCCATAACCCCACTACGTCTTACGGGTCCCCGATCCACTTTAGGTCAGTGCGTGGCGGGTCAATTTCCTTTTTACGATTATGAAGGATGTTTTTATCGGGTTTATTAGTGCATTCTCATTTATAGATTCTATCAGCCGATTATCCCGGGTCTTCGATGATGGCGACTTCCGGGTCGAGAGGCGATTGGACCATGTCCCCGAGGATCGGAGTAGAGATTACCATTTAATTTTTTCTTTCCTTTTTATTGGATTTCGAAAAGTCCTGATATCCAACCATATACCTGGTAACTCCGAAAAAAAAGATCATCATACGTCCCTTCATTAATTTACATCAAAATAATTACGTTTACCCAACCTGACCAAGTAAGCTCAGAACCACGTGTGACGTTTGGCTTCCCCAGCTCCAGTCAATTTTTACTTCCAGGCGTACCAATACCGAAAAACACAGTAGACGGTCGAGAAACAAAAAAAAACGTTAAACACACTTTTCATCTGAAAAAGAATATCCCAGTAGTCCCCCTCGGGCATGATTATTTCAGTGCTTCAGATCTTTTTACCTGAAACGAAAAAAAAAAAAAAAAAAAACAATACCCATTACGGTGCTCGCAACGTTTATATTAACTCGCAAAGGGAACTTTCTTGCCCTCCCTGACCCGCGATTACGTAAGAGAGTACTGGCTCTAATTGTTCTAGAAGGTCGAGTGTCGCTGATGTTGCTAAAAAGGGGTCGCCCCTAGTCAGCCGGGTGGGACGGTCGCCGGTAAGCGAGCAAGCTCACGGGTTACGACTACGCGGCCGTGGAAGAGGACTCCGACAAGTAGCTGTTAAAGGGAAGAAAGTTTGATGGTGTCGGTCAGTGCGCTCCAATGAGTTTAACGACACCGTACAAAGGCTAAAGGTTATACAGGAGGCCCATCCCCTTTGGACCGAACCTCAAAGTCTACCTGGTAGACCCACCTAGACCTTTTAGCTACTTCAGGATCTCACCCCCTAGCTCCACTCATCCCCCCTCCTGCCATAAACTCATAGAGTAAACTCATATCCCGGTAACATTCGCTTTTACCCCCTGGGGGTTTAAAATGGTAATTTCTCTGTTCTTTCCACCCGGTACCACCCCCTTCACCCCTTGCTCCCTAACCGCGGCAATGTTGCCAGTGACAACAGCCGTGTTTCTGATCCGACATTTAATTTGCGTCAACCCTGACTTTTCCGTTTCCACCCCCCCCCCCTCCGTC